GTTGAAGTAGTTTTATGCTTACAAAAGACATTTTTACTAAGTTTGAGAGCTGTTAAACATTTTTTGACGGAGTAAAAAATTATGAAATTTTCGATTTTTTCGCTGTTATATGTAGACTATTTTAAACAATTATGCATCGATATTGATTGTTCACGCCACAAACTGTTCGTTTTAATGATACCTGCAAATGCAGTACCACAAAATATGGTTCTTGTTGATTGGCTTACAGATATCGTTAAAAACCAGGTATTTTTACCATTTTTTTTTTTTTTTTTTTTTTCATAAAACCGTTAACAAGAAAATGATAACCGCGTTGTGAATAGACGTATTTTTAAGGATGAGCTACTGACTACCAAATCCATTTATTAAACCGTGTTAAATACTGTAAGGGATTACATCTTGTGGATTTGCCAACTCTTTCGGCCTATTTTTATATGTACAGTTGTGCCAAGAAAGAAAATAACCTTCCGGCTTCACTGTATTGATCCACTCCTGCTCGAAATATTCGATAAATGCATCAAAGTATGCACCGTGACAGCGATTACACTCCTCTTTTAGATATTGAAAAGCATCCTTTATCATATTGGAAGGCAGAAATGCTAAGGCCATAAATTTTCTCAGTAACAGGTGCCTTGCTGGCCTAGTAATCTTGTTTTTTTTAATGTCAGCCTTTTTTTTCAACGCATTGCGAAATATGGCCTGAAAAATAATAATAATAATATTAATACTAGGGCATTTAACATATTTATAGCTAGGGGTAAATGAACCAATTACTGCACACTGAAATTTTCGACTGTGCTATACATTTCTTATTTCTCAATGTTTTTCAATGTACATTAAAGCAGTCTAACTCAATCTTTATCTGCAGCATCTTATGCGATTAAAACGACAAACGTTTTTCTGTTATGTTACTTATTTTACTTTTGAATAATTATTTTAGTTCTGATATCACTTGCTAGTATAACTATGTTTACACGGTTACAAAAGTAGCACCAGTCGCTGCGCCCCTCTTTACTGCGCGAATATCTCCCATAACATTTTCACGCTGAAGGTGTAGACGCAATTGCTGCACACCAATCACTACGCACGACTACAAAGTTTTGTAGTTTAGATTCATTAAGAGTCAGTCAGTTAAACAATTATAAATGTTATAATGTACAGTATGATTCAGAATTAAAAGTTATTAGTGTCCGTACGTGCACATGTTACAATATCTAAGCACCCGAATTTTCCATTCTGTTTTTCTTATTTTTAATTACTGTTGAGTGCGTAATAGTTGGTACCTGCTCAGTAATTGGGTCAATTACCCCTATAATATATAAATACTTATTATAAACCTGGAACATATGAAACAGGCAGCCACTTATTAATGCCTCACGATATGCTATCCTCAGGGCCATACGCGGCCTTTTTCGTAGTCAGCCATAATGTGGCGAGGAGAGACAGCATCGAATTGTTCATTTATAAATGAGAAGATTGCCTCATAATCAGCAGTCTTACGCCTTCCCATGAGCGCATAGAAAACGGGGACTGCCTTTTATTGAAAAAGCAGAATACAATTACATTTCGATTATTAAATGAAGCAACAGTCGTTGTGAGATTACATGCATCTTAACCTGTATATAATTCAACGAATAAATGAAGGCGCAGATCGAGTTTACGAAAAAAATTCGGTCTTTTGATGTACTCCCTTTCAATAAAAAATAATTAGCTATCATTTTAGCTATCAGCTATCATATCATCAGCTATCATATCAGCTTCTAGTTATCATCAGTTATACCTCTATTTACTGCTATAACCAGCTACAGTTCATTGACCGAAACCAAAAAAAAAAAAATGATTTACTTATGTTTTCCAGTATAAAAAAAATGATTATTTTTCCACAGAATTTTGTCACGAAGGTGAGAATAATAGTTTTTTCTGTATTGAAAGTCGGCATCATTTATTTAATTAATTATTAGCGGAATAAAGTATGAAAAAACATTTATTGCACCAAACAATTTTCAATCGACGTAGCAAAACAAATAGTGTTACTGAAATCTAACTATGAAAAAATATAGTTATATAGTTGTACAACACATAGTTGTTTGTAAAATTGCAGCATAATTATTAGTTTTTTGTTCATTAATTTTTTAAAGTGAAAATTTGAAGTGTTATAACAAACTTCATGGGCAGTTTATCGACGTTTTGCTTCGTTAGAACCATTATATTTAATGTAAGGAATGGTACTAAATAAAACATAATTGATTTCGGTGAATTCTGATGTATTGCCGCAAAACATTCTACTTTGCTACGTAAATAATTGCAAATGTCTGTCAAGTTTGCATTCTCATTTTCTCAACTAACATCATTGCCTTTGTCTTAAAAAATCTAGAATTAAAAAAATTAACGCTCTAGCTTACTCTCCAGTCGAAAGAAATTTGCGTTACTTGCAATAAGTGATAATTACTTTTTTTTTGGCAAAAATCAATGACATTAATAAAGAGCTCCCGCAGTGTGATGCAATAATATTTGAAGATGATACATCAAATTTTTCGCAAAAAAAATTTCATCACTCTGTTATTGCAAAAAACGCAAATAACTTTCGGCTTAAGAGTAAACTAGAGCATTCTTTCTTTTTAATTCGTGACTGAAGACAAAGGCAATGAAGTTCATTGAGAAAAGACTTATTCAAAATTGACTAAGACATTTGCAATTTTTCATGTTGAAAAAAAAACTTTAGTGTCCGAAAAAAGTGTGCTGCAAACATTTTTAGCGGTGTGCAGAAAAAAAATTTGCTACACATCAGAAATCTCGCAAGGAACGAATTAAACCGTATGTGTACAACTATCATAAACCTACTTAGTGTAAGTTTCAACTCTGAACTGAAATTCTTTCTGAAGATTTTTTTTTGTTAATTCCATTAATATATCATTATAATTTTAGAACATTTCTTTGGGAACCACAATCCCATTGTGTTGGTGCGGTGTCCTTTAACAAAATTTGTTGCAGTTGTACAATTCTTTGAAAATGTTTTTGTTTAAGTAATTAAAAGTTCATTTTTTATACAAATTTTTAATTAAATCAAATTTGAGTTTATATATTTCAGTCATAAAAATACATCTTTTTTTTGGACGATCAATTGGTATTTTTGCAGTACCCTGGACCCCGCACAAGCTTTTTTGCAAATCATCAACATATTTACTATTTTCCTCACACTCCTATGATACCCCCACACTTGTGGGTGGAAACGATAAATCGTGCCTTTCATCACACTCGCGCTATGCACTCGTGTGTTCAACTAGCACTCGTTCCCGTCAACTCCAACCACCTGTTTGAGTCAATCACGACTCGTGCAGAAAATCGTCTTTTCCGCGCCTGTTCCGTAATTAAATAATTTGTAGCAAAACGTCATAATTAACCAAAATCAATTACGTTTCATTCAGTATCATTACTGACATTCTATAGAACGTTTCTAACGAAGCGAAATGTCGACAAATTGACTGTGGAGCTAGTAATGACACTTAAAAGATTCACTATAAAAAAGTAATTGCCTAAAAAAAATAATTATTTTACAATTTCACAAACAGCTGCTTGCTGTGTGACTATATATTTATCGATGCCCCACACGAACAAACGTACAGGCAATTATGAGGATGAATGATGAATGATGAGCAAACTCAACCGCCAGAGGGCAGCAAGACAAAGTGCAACCAAGAAATATATAGATATATTATTTGAATACGGTTTATTTACATTGTTTCATAAAAAAATTCGTAAAAAATATTTACATTGTTTCTTTTAGCAGTTTCTTAAATTGACTTATACTTCAAGAACTATAATAGTTCTCTCTGGAAATTCTCATTCATCCTTTAAATTCTAAATTTTCCGCTCTCTTACATACGAGTAACAATGAAATTGTATTGGTGAGACGCCATGATAGAAACCGTATTCAAATAAAATATCTATATCTCTATGTTGCACCTTGTCCTGCTGCTCTCTGGTAGTTAAGCATGCTCATCATTCATCCTCATAGTCTGACGAACAGACGTACAGGCAGTCATTATCCGACGAAGAGACGCACAGGCAATAAACGTACAGGCAATTGGAGTGCTCTCAAATGTGACTGGCAAGCTTGCGGAAATTTCAATATGGCTATATGGAGCAAGACACAAAAACTCAGATAATTCTACAGAACTTCATGCATGATAAATTAATAAACTAACCCCAAGCTATTTAATCCAACAACCCAAAGCAAATAACAACACGAGCGCCAATTACCTAAGAACCCAGAGCGCTTACTGGCCACTCTCTAAAATAATAATTAATTAATAACTCAAGCGCCTATCACCAGATGACCCGGAATGCTTACGGGCCACTCTACTAAATAATAAATTATTAATAAATAAAACAAGCGCCTATCACCCGATAACCTAGGGCACTTACTATCAGCTGTATTAAGGGGGTAGTGTCACAATATATAGTCAATGCGTGCTCCGAAATACATTATGCGTTCCGAAACAGACAAGTGACAATAAATATGGCAACGCCGCATGAGGCGAAAACCCTCTGTATATCTATATATACGTATAAGTATAGATACATTCGGAGGTTATATTGTACGTAAACATTGAGTTGGTGGTGAAATATCCGTAATAAATGTCTGAACGTTTTCGTTTACCAAATGGGAGACTTGTCAAAAAAAGTGTCGAAGAGAAAAGAATGAAGGCTATCGCGGCTATGACAGATGGTCGAAAAAAAAGGCATCAATGAGTAAGGCGTTACTTCAGGAGCCAAACAGAACAAATACACAAGACATAGGTTTTCGACTTGTAAATGTCACTGATTTGGCAAGGAATTTGAAGTGCAAAAAATGTGATCATTTACTGGATCTTGAAAAATGACAGTGTGAAAAAAGAGAAGGTTTTTATTCAAGTTTTCAAATTTCTTGTGGCACTTGTGCTTCAATCAATAACGTAGAAACAAGCAGTAAGATACAAGGGCCTACTCAGTCAATCTCCATGGTTAATGCTGCAGTCGCTTTAGGTAACTTTTATGGTCGTTACTAAATAAATAAATAAATCATATGTTTATTATCCAAAATATAATAACTTTATATACATATATCTGTAGGTTCAATCACCGCAGGCATCGGCCCTAGAACTTTGAATAAATTATCAGCATGTGTTGATATGCCTGGGATGACAAATCACATGTTTAAAAGATACGAGAGAGAAATAGGACCAGTCATAGAACAAGCTGCCAAGGAAAGTTGCGAACGTTCGGCACTTGAAGAGAAACGACTAGTGATTGAGAATATACAAACGCTTTATGATACACTGTAAGTTTAAGCGATAGGATTTTTTGACATTTTATTTGTACATTATACGTATTATCATTATTTCAAATTTTAATTTTGCATAATGGCGTTATGTAAAAACTGTCTTTATGACAAAATTTTTTAATTTTTATAGACTATTGTCAGAAACTAAAGAAAAAATTTATAGATCAAGTTTTCAGAGATTTTTTAATGTGAAATTAAATTGCTGTATTTTTTTATGATTTTATATGAAAAAAAATTGTATGAATTTATGATGTGCAAAAAAGAATACTATATTTACAAAGCAACAAACAAAACATTTTTTAATTATCAATACTGTTTTTGTCATAAATTAGTAAGACTACTTTTTCATAAATAAAAAATTGTTTTTACTGAGTACGTGAGAAAATATAGGAGAATATTTAACAGAAAAAAAATTTGTATCCGTATTGTTTATGGTATTAAAGCAAGCTACTATAACAACAGGCCTACCAATATTGCAAGGGATTTGTATCCAGAAATAAAAGTCATGAACTCAGCAATAGAAGAGAGCAACAACAATTCACAAGTTAATCAAGACAAATTTGATATAGCGTGCGGAAAAGTTATCAATATAATTGTATCCTATGACATGGGATGGAGCAAACGCGGAAACGGTTGAAGCTACGACAGCCTGAACGGATACGCAGCTATCATAGGATTCTTGTCTAAAAAAGTACTGGATTTCACCACCAGAAATCGAAAATGTGCCAAGTGTGATAAAGATTGTAGCAAAGAAGATCATGATTGCCGAGAAAATTTTCAAGGTTCTGCGAAAGCTATGGAAGCTCATGCTGGTGTGCAACTAATAAGAAATAGTGTAATTCTAAAAAACAACCAATTAAATGTTGGAGTTGTCATTGGTGATGAGGATAGCAGTATGATAGCTACCGTGAGAAAGGCCGGTGATACGACTGTTCATAAACTTGCTGACAATAATCACTTAACATAAAATTTTGTCAGTGACTTATACGAAGAAGCCAAATATTCCAAAGAACTAAAAAGAAACGGAGTAATCGCCCATTTACACAAATGCTTTTCTTATGCAGTCAGTCAAAATGAAGGAAATTATAGGGAATTGGCAGGAGTGTTGAAAAATATTCCAGACCACGTTTACAACAGGCATGAAAATTGTGGTCCTTGGTGTAATCGTCTACGAGGGCTTGAGAAACAAACAATTATTCTAACTGACGATAAACTGTATGAAAAAATAAAAATTATTTTTGCTAAGTACGCTAATAATGGGGGAAAGTTTTGTGTTGCAGCTTCGAGTCAAGCGAACGAAAGCCTAAATAATATGATTACGGGCAGAGCACCGAAAGCAAAGTGTTATAGCAAAAGTGAATCTGCGGATTATAGAGTAGCAAGCGCTGTGCTCTCAAAAAATGATGGAGATTATTCTATTGTAGTTGTAAGACAAAAGCTTGATTTACCTGCTGGCATGCACGTGAAGAGTTATTTTGCGAAAATTGATAATGATCGGAAGAGAAAATCTGCTGAAAAAAATACAAGAAAAGCCAAATTAAGGAGATTACAACTAACAAAAGAACGAAAAATCTTACGTCAAAAAAAAGAAAAGCTAGAAGATGTTGTTTATCAATCAAATTGTGGTATAAATTCTATTCAAAAAAGTATAGTCCCTGCCAAAAATGTAAGTGATACATCAACACCGAGCTATGATATAGTTTATTTTGATATAGAAACTTCAGATCTGAGTATAGATTGTGATATTCTCCAAATAGCAGCTGTATGTGGTGAAAAGAAATTTAGTATTCATGTAAATCCTAGTCAAAAAATTTCCCCTCATGCAACAAAAGCCAACGGTTTGTCTGAGTTATGCGGTGAATTGTATTTTTTGGGGAGCAAAGTAGTAACGTTAACTTTACATGAAGCTTTATTGGCATTATCTTATTTTTTACGTAGAATTTGTAATTCATGCATATTAGTAGCTCATAATGCTCGTTTCGATGTACCGAGATTGATAAGGGCGATAGAAAATACGGAATTGAATGATAAGTTTAGAATGATACAGAGATTTTCAGACAGTTTAGCGATGCTTAGACAGATTTATCCACAGAAAAAAGGAACTGGAGCGTTCAAACTAATAAATTTAGCCAACGATTTATTAGGACCTCAAAATGCTGATCTTTTCCACGAGGCTCTTTTTGACGTTACAGTCTTGAAAAGCATGGTTAATAAAGCAGATAGAAAAGATTTATTGTTATCTTTATCAATAACATATCAAGAAGTAGTATTACGTTACAGAAACAACGATAAAATCAATAGCGGTATCACTAAATTAGGCGATTTGAAGATAATCGTTTCTAAAATTATTTTACAAAAACTTTCGCTTGCGGACATTGATTTGAAACAGTTGAGAGATTTATATAAAAAGGATAAGGCAGAAGGAATAATAAATATCCTCTCCTCCAAGTCATTTAACAGTAAGAAACCTCTAGTGAGGAAAAATAAAAAAGTATTAACGAAGATAATAAAGTTTATTCAAGACAAGTATAAAATGTAATTTAGAATATTTGTATAATGGTCTGAATGTAAAACACAATATATAGTCAATGCGTGCTCCGAAATACATTATGCGTTCCGAAACAGACAAGTGACAATAAATATGGCAACGCCGCATGAGGCGAAAATCCTCTGTATATCTATACATACGTATAAGTATAGATACATTCGGAGGTTATATTGTACGGAAACATTGAGTTGGTGGTGAAATATCTGTAAAAAATGTCTGAATGTTTTCGTTTAACAAATGGGAGACTTGTCAAAAAAAGTGGCACGTATGCACATACGTATACAAAATGCCGATAATGCAGATTCCCTTCGGTACTATAACAAGACGTTGCAACATCTTCACGGATCTTTAAGTACACACTTTTAATTCGTTATAACTAAAGAACGGTGAAGCTTCGGATGCTGTTTGTATAATACGATGCTTAAAACATACTATTTTACATTATATTTCAATTTCAGCAAAGTCTTAAATTTTTTTTAGTCGTAATCAGTAAAACACTCTTTCTCTCATAAGAGTACGTGTTAAATGGGTAATTTATTTCTCGAGAACGGTGAAGCTAGGATGTCTGAAAATTTAATATGTTATTCTACGCATAATTGTTAGTTTATACAAATTTTTTCAAGGCGTTCCTAAATTTTTGAATTTTG